TGATTAACCATCCATTGTCAGAGGGCATCATCCCCAACTTGGAAAGGTCTATGTTTCTCTATTTCTCTCCCTTTTTCTCTCCCTCTGTTTCTTTCCCTTCTGTTTCGTTGGTGTCACCACTTCAAGCTAGTCGCAGTCGGTCTCTCAAGTGTCCACTTTACCGTTCTTTCTTTATTCCCCACGGTACATATATGCCCGCATGTGCGTGCCCACTGCCGAACAAATAAAGGGATACGCGGTGATACCTGGCGGACGAGATAAGAAGGGCACATACATCGATGCAGTATATTTTACATCTTCACAGGGATAGATGGAGAGAAACAGGGGGAGAGAGGGAGAGAAAGAGAGAAAGAGAGACAACTAATGGGATAATGAGAAGGAGCAATATAAAAGAGGTTGAGAGAGGGAGAGAGAGTGACAGAGAGAGAGAGAGACAGAGACAGAGAGAGAGGGAGAGACACAAACACATACAAACAAGGAAAAGAGAGAGAGAGAGAGACAGTTGCAGAGGCAGAGGGAACACACGACATGAATGTTTGCCCCCTCGGAGTAAAAAGTAATGTGTTTCCTGACTCGAGAGGGGAGCGGGAGACACAGAGAACATGGGAAAGAGAGAGAGGGGGGGGAAGGAGGCATAGAGAGAGAGAGAAGGAGAAGGGGGCATACATACGTATACATACAATATCGATATATGGATCGAGTGGCCATTCCCGGGGTGTGGGCGGCGAGAGAGAAGCACGAGCAGAGAGGGGGGGAGAGATAGCACAAAAGCGAGTGTGGGATATAGACCGCAGTAATGCGACCGCGGAAGAGAGAGAAAGAGAGAGAGAGAGAGAGAGCGAGAGGGAGGACCGAAACAAGGAGAGAGAGAGAGAGAGAGAACTAACAGGAAAGAAACCGAGAGAGCGAGAGAGTCCCACGTTGCCCCGTTCCTGCTGAACCCTTGGTTGCGCCAGGTTTGGAAATTCATGCGCTCGCATTGTATGTGTGCTGATACATGTGTTCATACACGCGCATACACGTACTCCGAAGGGACAAGGCAGGGAGCGATAAAGAGAGAAAGAGAGAGAGAGACAGGAGGGGAGAGGGACGGAGAAAGAGAGAGAAAGCGAGAAACATCCGTAAGGGTTTCGCCCATTGCCGCCGGCACCCCTTCTCTTTTAGAATGGTGTATGCCAAAGCTAGATTGGGATGCGAGGGCGATGTTGTGAAGCAACGTCGGGATTTCACGCGAGGGTCACTATCGTACGTTACGGCTTGCACAGCAAAATTAAAAAACCATTTATCTAACCCTGGCGATTTGCATTGCGAATTTGCTGACGATCGTGGCTTCGGGACGTGAACATCGCACAATTTACTGGGGTCGTTGTCCCGGGGACAGGAGCGCATCGTAATTTTTTACAGACGGGTCGGGGCTTCGAGTGCGCGAATCTTTGCAATTTGCAATGAACCGTGCTTTCGGTGACGCAGATCTTGCTTAAGCTGCAATAGCTGATGGCCTCGAGGACGCGAACCTACCGGGGGTCGTGGCTTCGCGGGCGCGAACATTGCGTAGTTCACAGGGGAGATTGACCTCCTGCCCGCGAATTTGTGTAATTTCCGGGGGACCGTGGTTTCGGTGACGCAAACGTTGCGTAGTTCACGAAGGGGTTATGTTTTCGAGGACGCGAATATTGTATACTTTACGATTGATTGCGGCTTCGAGTAAGCACATACTATACAATGTACCAGGGTAGTAGCCTCGGGTACGCGAGTAGTTCGTGTGTACTTTACACAGGGTCGTGGCCTTTGGGTCATGAGTATCGTGTAGTTGACGAAGACCGTAGCCTCGGCGACGCAAATACGATGTAATTTCAACGGGGGCAGTGGCCTCGGTGACGCGGATATTGTATGTATAATCTAAAATGCTTGATGGCCTCGAGGACGCGAACGTCGTGCACTCTACGAGGCATTATGTCCTCTGGGACGCATCTGCCGCGCAATTTACAAAAGACTATGGCTCCTGGGACGCGGGCGAATGCTGATTAATCTGCAGGGGAGTCTGGCCTCGGGCACGCAAGCATTGCATAATTTACGGGGGGGGTATGGTCACGGGGACGCGACTCTCACGTATCTATGCGTGTCCCAGCCTCCCGAAAAAAATTGTGAGACCAGCCGGAGGGCGTGGTAAATTGCACGGTTTGGCCCCCCCCCCCCCCTCACGAGGACTCCAGGATTTTGGCATTAACAGTACGAAGCAGAAAGTGGGAATATCACATTGGAATCCGGAAATTGGGACTGGCGCAGGGAGCAGCAAGCCTTAGCCGTGTAGCTTTATGGCCGCAGAAGGGGGCCGGCGGATATGAAGAAAAAGTGCCAGTGACGCATAGGAATTGTTTTCGATACGCACATGCACAGGACATGAATGTTTGCCCCTTCGGAGTAAAGAATAATGTGTTTCTTGACTCGAGAGGGGGGCGGGAGACACAGAGAAAGTGGGAAAGAGAGAGAGGGGGAAAAGGAGGCATAGAGAGAAGAAGCAGGAGAAGGGGGCATACATACGTATACATACAATCACGATATATATATAGAGAGAGAGAGAGAGAGAGATCGAATGGCAATTCCCAGGGGGTGGGTGGCGAGCCAGAAACAATAGCAGAGAAGGGGAGAGAGATAACACAAAATCGAATGTGGGATATAGACCGCAGTAATGCGACCGCGGAAGAGCGAGAGAGAGGGCCAAACCAAGGAGAGAGAGAAAGAGAGAACCAACAGGAAAGACACCGAGAGAGCGAGAGAGTCCCACGTTGCCCCGTTCCTGCTGAACCCTTGGTTGCGCCAGGTTTGGGAGTTCATGCGCTCGCATTGCATGTGTGCTGATACATGTGTTCATACACGCGCATATACGTACTCCGAAGGGACAAGGCAGGGAGTGATAGAGAGAGAGAGAGAGACAGGACGGGAGAGGGACGGAGAAAGAGAGAGAAAGAGAGAGATATCCGTAATGGCTTCGCCCATTGCCGCCGGCACCCCTTCTCTTGTATATGCCAAAGCTAGATTGGGATGCGAAGGCGCTGTTGTGAAGCAACGTCGGGATTTCACGCGAGGGGAGGGTCACTATCGTACGTTACGGCTTGCACAGCAAAATTAAAAAACCATTTATCTAACCCTGGCGATTTGCATTGCGAATTTGCTGACGATCGTGGCTTCGGGACGTGAACATCGCACAATTTACTGGGGTCGTTGTCCCGGGGACAGGAGCGCATCGTAATTTTTACAGACGGATCGGGGCTTCGAGTACGCGAATCTTTGATATTTTCAATGAACCGTGCTTTCGGTGACGCAGATCTTGCTTAAGCTGCAATAGCTGATGGCCTCGAGGACGCGAACCTACCGGGGGTCGTGGCTTCGCGGGCGCGAACATTGCGTAGTTCACAGGGGAGATTGACCTCCGGCCCGCGAATTTGTGTAATTTCCGGGGGACCGTGGTTTCGGTGACGCAAACATTGCGTAGTTCTCGAAGGGGTTATGTTTTCGAGGACGCGAATATTGTATACTTTACGATTGATTGCGGCTTCGAGGAAGCACATACTATACAATGTACCAGGGTAGTAGCCTCGGGTACGCGAGTAGTTCGTGTGTACTTTACACAGGGTCGTGGCCTTTGGGTCATGAGTATCGTGTAGTTGACGAAGACCGTAGCCTCGGCGACGCAAATACGATGTAATTTCAACGGGGGCAGTGGCCTCGGTGACGCGGATATTGTATGTATAATCTACAATGTTTGATGGCCTCGAGGACGCGAACGTCGTGCACTCTACGAGGCATTATGGCCTCTGGGACGCATCTGCCGCGCAATTTACAAAAGACTATGGCTCCTGGGACGCGAATACTGATTAATCTGCAGGGGAGTCTGGCCTCGGGCACGCAAGCATTGCATAATTTACGGGGGGGGTATGGTCACGGGGACGCGACTCTCACGTATCTATGCGTGTCCCAGCCTCCCCAAAAAGATGTGAGACCAGCCGGAGGGCGTGGTAAATTATTGGACGGTTTTGCCCCCCCCCCCCCCCCCTCACGAGGACTCCAGGATTTTGGCCATTTACAGTACGAAGCAGAAAGTGGGAATATCACATTGGAATCCGGAAATTGGGACTGGCGCAGGGAGCAGCAAGCCTTAGCCATGTAGCTTTATGGCCGCAGAAGGGGGCCGGCGGATATGAAGAAAAAGCGCGAGTGACGCATAGGAATTGTCTTCGATACGCACATGCACAGCGTGTAGGAACGCGAAAGGGAGCAGTAAGGACAGATGGGTTGAAGGGAAAGGAACAGAGAGAGAGAGAGACGGTTGTATGCAACTACATACATATTTACATATCTATACATACACACACACACTAGAACTATGCGTGTTTTTCCGCGCTTAGGTTTCAGCACGTCCCAGCCCTCGACAGCAACACAGCTGCACATGTGCACGCCTACGAGTTGCGACGGCAATGACAGGGACACCCTCTGAGGGCCAGGGAGGGAGGCCTTGCCACAGGCCCCTCCCTTGTGCCTCCTCCTCCGGAGGGAGGCGGGCTCTGGGCAGTTTGCTGCGGGGTTCTACGCATGCACGTTTCTAACAGAACTGCTGAACCAAAACAGGTGTTTGTCTGGACCGTGATGCCGCGACCTGCAGCAAGGGTGCGTCCGAGCGCCGAGGGGTCACGACGAATTTTCCGCATGTTCGCTGTGCTGATGGCGATTCGGCCCACCCTGCGGCACCCGCGCGATGCATGATGCAGGCCGTGTTCTGCGTCCCGTGTCCCCGACGATGTATTATTGCGGCGAGGCCTTTGCAGAAGTAGGAGGAGGGGTGATTGAAGTGGAAAAGGCTACTCGGCAACAGCTCTTGCAGCAGTATCAGGAGAAGGGGAAGGGATTGATGAGCACGACGAGCATGATATCATTTTTGCAGAAGCCGACGCCAGCCTGCGCCAACTCACGCATGACGCAGACGGATGTGACAGGGCTGGGAGGACACGATGCGCGGCTGTATCGATTGCCGGTTCTTCGTGTGCATGTCATTGGCTAAGTCCGCATTGCGATCGGTGGCTAACGGTTGATCGAGCGGAGCTCTTCGAGTATGGATGGGGAGGAGGAAGAAGAGAAGGAGGTTGCGGGGCGATCGGCGACTAGCCATTATGCGAGCTGAGATATTTGATTCGGAGAGAGAAGGAGAAGGAACAAGGGCAGGAGGGAGGAGGGGGTTGGGGAAGAGAGAGACGAGGATCTGATGATGGAGTCATTGGTATTACGATTTCGTCGGTTATTTCGTCCAATACTTTCGTTAAACCCTCTGGCCCCTGTTAATCTCAGCTCGATTGTAAGCTTGGGAGGTGACGAGCAAGGGAAGGTAGGGAGGGGAGAGGGAGAGTGAATGAGGGAGGAAGAGGGGGGAGGCGCAGGAGGAGGGTGGGTGAGGAGGGAGAGGAGGAGGAAGAAGAGTGAGGAGGAAGGCAGGGGAGGGCAGGACAGGAGGGTACGGCCGAGGCGCTGAAACGAGGACCGCTTTGGGGCTCGGGAGGTGCTCTGGTGCTCGAGCCGCTACTGAGGCCCAGGTCGCAGGTCTTGTTCGTGGCCGAGGCCCGCCGCGGCCGGGGTGCAGCGCTCCTCGTGGTCGCACCACGGTCGCGGAGGAGAGGGAGGGGGGCGTCGTCGTCGTCGTCGTCGTCGTCGTCGTCGTCGTCGTCGTCCAGAGCTCGGACCCGGCGGCCCCCTCCCGCCGCGGCCGCGCTGGGCGGGCAGGAACGGGTACGCGAGGCATCGGATGCCCCAGGAAGCCATGGAGGGGCCTCCTCCTCCGCCTTCCCCTCCTTCCTCCTCATCCTTCCTCCTCCCTCCTCCCTCCTCCTCCTCCTCCTCCTCCTCCTCCTCCTCCTCCTCCTCCTCCTCCTCCTCCTCCTCCTCCTCCTCCTCCTCCTCCCTCCTCCCTCCTCCTCCTCATCCCCCTCCTCCTGTCTCTCTCGCCCTTCCCTGGGGCGCCTGGTCGTCGGCTTCTGTTCCCTGGGTCTGGCAGCCCCAAGGTTTTGAGGTGTTCCCGCCGCTTCTGGCCAGAGGGATCCGTACGTTCAGTGCGCAGAGGAGCGAGTGAGCCCCCTATCAAGTGCTAAACACCGCATTCTGCGCACCCGAGGACTAGAGCTACCTGGAAGTGCTCAGTCTCGGCCGCACTTTGACGCGTGTTCCTGATGAGCCCGCCGCCGGCGCCGCCTCCTCCTCGCTCGCCGCGAGCACACCAACCCATAGCACCAGTGGTGCATCATGTGGCGGCGGGGTGAGCGTAGCGATTCGACAATCAAGACATCGGATGTCTGGGAGGGGGCCGAGCGAATGTCGGACGATTCTGGTTACAACTCAGGAGGTGTTGTTTCTCGAAAAGCGTTGGCCCTCCAGGAGTCTAGCACACCTGAAGCTGGCCTCGGTGCTTCAGCGCTCTGGGCCAAAGGCCTGCGGCACAACGAGAGAACGAGAGAGAAAGAACGGAATACACACAGCTTTGTATAAATCGCGCGTTCGCGGGGAATTCGTTCAATGCCGAAGAACTGAATCAAATACTCCAACATTCATATAAGCAAGAGGGGTCCCAACCCTCTCAGGCGAGCAGTTTTAGACTCCCCAGACCAGCCATGAAAGGGCGGCCTTTTACCCAGACCTCGCGGAACGTCCGCGCGGTTGTCTCAGGTTGGCGTTTGACCCAATAATTTCCCGTCGTGTGGGTGTGCCATGAATTCCAGGGCGGGAATTCCTCCATCACAACCGCCTGGAGAAACGATCTCCGGAGATCTCGGCAGCCTGTGGTTCTTGAGGTATTATGATCTTAAGGGGGCGCACATGACCACAGCAACGGGCTGCCGAGGCCGCCGAACGTCGGTCCCCCCAGGCGGCGGTTGTGGACAAGCTCCCGCCTCCCACACACACTGCGAGCAGGCACCAGCGAAGCGCACACGTACTGGTGAACCTCGTACTGCTGCTACTTGATGAGCAGCACGGGGCAGGTTCCACATGACAACACCGCCCCACCCCCCCACACAATACAGAAACACGGACTCGGTTGCGCGGGCATCGGCGCGCAACGTCCCCGCGTGAGTCCGCAGGGGGCAAACGTTCTCAGAAGGCGGCGGGGCTCCTCAGAAGTCCTCTCTTTGCCTTCTGGGAAACAGAATCTCCGGCTTCGCAGACTGCGTAAAGAAGCTTCTCAGAAGGCCACGGGGCTCCCGAGCATGTTTGAGAAGGCCCGCCCCCGCTGCCCTCCCTGGGCGCGACGCCGAGGCCTGGAGGGCCGCTGCAGTGGAAACCCTTCCAAGAGACACGCTGCTTGCCTCCAGGGTGCCCTGGGTTTCGATGGTTCTGCTATGGAAGACCAAGGGTGCCAGGGGTTTCTTGGGTTTCGATGGTTCTGCTTTCTTGGGTTCTTGGGTTTCGATGGGTGCTTGACCCTCCAAAAGACCAAGGGTGCCCTGGGTTTCTTGGGTTTCGATGGCCCTGCGATGGAAAGCGCGGCGTTCCCCCGCCAAAAACCGATGGGCGTCCCCGGGGCCTCAGGGTTGGGTTTCTTGTGGAGGGGCCCCAACGATGCAGCCCAGAGCGCTGAAACAGAACACCGCGAGCAGGGCTCCGGTTGTAGGGGCCCTCGGCATCGCTCGGACGGGTGCGTTTTTTTGTTTCTCTCTCTCTCTCTCTCTCGGCGGGGCCATCCATATTGTATCACCGAGCCCTCCGGAGAGCAGGCAGTGCTCAAACAGTACTGGCTCGGGCTGCATTTGTGCTAGTCGCAAAAAAGAGCGATCGACACCATCGTCACACATCGCTTGATAGTAACAGTCTCTCTCGGCGGGGACCATCGAGGAGCATCTCAGATCATCTGGCAAAAAACGCAAGCACGCACGAGGCCGAAAAATGCACGGGGATTGGACGTCCGCGGCGGAAAAACGCAGGGCTCTGGTTTCTGAGACGTTCCTCAGATTTGGGGCGTGAAACGCATTCGTGGCCGAGGCTCGCTGTGGGTGGAGGGGCCCCTTTCGTTCCCTCTCGGGTGCTCCTTTTGGCAGCCCGATGACTGCAGCGCGAGACGGCGGAGGGGGTTTGAGATGGAAGGTGACGATAGGGGCGAATGCCTCGAGGGGGGGGGGGCAATACATGTATCCAGGGGCGCCGATGATCCGTGTCTTCGGCGAGGCTGCCAGGCGAATGCGTGTACTGCTCTCCCCTGGGCTATTCGTCCTTGTCGTCGCCGCCGAGGGTCTGAGAAGGCACGGGGTTCGGAGAAGGCACGGGCACTCTTTTAGAAGGGCCCCGAGGCGTTCACGGAGCCTTCCCAGACGCCCCGAGGGCCTTTGAGAGGGCCCCGGCCTCCCACGAAGCCCTCCCGGCCCTCTTATCGGGGGCGGCCAAGAGCGGAGGTGAAGACGGGCTTGGGGGGGTCCGGGAGAATCATTAATCGGATCATGACCTCTCCTCGGATTTCATGGGCCGGTCTTCTTGCTCCAGTGCGCCCCTCGCCCTTCCTCCCCCCTCGTCCGCGCGCCTGCCTCGGGCCGTGGTTCGCTGGCGAGCCCCGGCGGGAAGTGAAAGGGGCGGGCCCTGTCAGAAGGCCCAGAAGTCCCCAGGCCTTCTCAGAGTTTGTCCCAATCATCCTGTGGTGTTGGGTCCTCGTTTTGGAGAGACAGGGCCCCGCGTGACACTCCCCCCTCCTCTCCCTCCTCCTTCCCCCTCCTCTCTCCTCTCGTCACCCTCAATTTGGCGCACCCCTCACACGGTTCGTGGCCCCATACGGAGCTCCACCTCAGGTCCCAGTGGTGCAGTTCGCATGGTGGCGCCGCCCCATTTTGGCACACCCCTCACACGCTTCGTGGCCCCACAGGGAGCTCCATCTAAGGTCCCAGTGGCGCAGTTCGCATGGCGGCGCCGCCCCATTTTGGCACACCCCTCACACGCCTCGTGGCCCCATAGGGAGCTCCGTCTAAGGTCCCAGTGGCGCAGTTCGCATGGCGGCGCCGCCCCATTTTGGCACTCATCTCACACGTTTCGTCGCCCCACAGGGAGCTCCATCTAAGGTCCCAGTGGTGCAGTTCGCATGGCGGCGCCGCCCCATTTTGGCACACCACTCACACGGTTCGTGGCCCCATAGGGAGCTCCATCTAAGGTCCCAGTGGCGCAGTTCGCATGGCGGCGCCGCCCCATTTGGGCACACCCCTCACACGCTTCGTGGCCCCATAGGGTGCTCCATCTAAGGTCCCAGTGGCGCAGTTCGCATGGCGGCGCCGCCCCATTTTGGCACTCATCTCACACGTTTCGTGGCCCCATAATTAGGGAGGTCCACCTAAGGGCCTCATGGCGCAGTTCGCATGGCGGCGCCGCCCCCTTTCGCCACACCCCTCCCACGTTTCGTGGGCACATCTAGGGAGCTCCACCTAAGGTCCCAGTGGCAAGCTGCACACGGCGGCGCCGCCTCTGTTTGGCACTCCTCTCACACGTTTCGTGACCCATGCGTCACCCACGCACATTCCGGCACACCCCTCACGTGGTTCGCGGCCCCATAGGGAGCTCCACCAACGGCGCCAGTGGCTGCGTTCACATGCGCCCACCGCACCAATTTCGGCACACCCTTCACCTTTCGCGGCCCCATAGGGAGCTCCATCGACGGCCCCAGTGGCTGCGTTCGCATGCGCCCACCGCACCTATGTTGGCACACCCCTCACGCGTTCCGTGGCCCCAAAAGGAATTCGACCGACGGCCCCAAGGGCTGCTTTCGCATGCTTCCACCGGACATCTTTTGGCACACCCCTCACACGACGTTTCGTGGCCCTAAAAGGGAGCTCCTCCGAATGCGGGGCACACAACAACAGTACTCACAACTGCATATGGTTGGGTCCTTCGCCAGGCTATTTTTTTAAGCCTTCTTCGAAGACGCAGAAAACTTCTCAGAAGGCGCGAGGGGCTTACGACAAGTCCCGCCACCTTCTGAGAATGCCTTCTCCTTCTCACTTCCCCCCCCTTGCTCGCCGCCGAGTTGCGTGCCAATTTCCCCCCCCCCCCTTCCTGGGCGCCGCCCTCCTGGAAGCCCTCCCCGCTCTTCGGTTTGACCGCGCGTGATGGGGCGACGATAAGTGGGGGGGGGGCAGCGAGGGCTGCCGAAAGTGAGCCAGAGCCCCCAAAGGGGCCCTGCAAGGCCCAAGAGGGGTCCTTGAGGGCCCGCAGGGGGCACCGTCCTTCCTCCCCCCATTTGTCGGGCGAAGGGAACTATGCACATGCACCGATCCTGGCAAGGCCCATCCTTGACCCAGGATCGGTGCATATGCCTTCCTGGCCAAGGTAGGAGGCCGTATGCACCGATCCTGGGCTCAGGATCGGCCTGGCCAGAATCGGTGCATGTGCATAGTTCTTTTTCCTCTATCCTTGAGGGCCCGCAGGGGGCACCTCCTTTCCTCCCCCCATTTGCTGCCCCACTTTCATTCTTGCCCAAACTCGGGCGGCCGCCCCCCCGCGCCAACCCCCGCGGCAGCGCGCCGCGGGCAGCCGCCGAGGCCCTGCTTCGCGCGCGCCCTGGACGGCGGCGGCTTCGACCTGCGGCCGCTGCCCCCGCCGCACGAGCTGCGCCGGCAGCGCGAGAGGCAGCCGGGTCGCCCCCCGGGGGCGTGCAGGTCACCGAGCGCGTTCCGCTACTCGCCAAGTGCCTACGCGCAGGCGTCTTGAGCAACAACCCTTTCCCCTCGGGGGTGGACAGAACCCCCAACAGTGACACGTCGATTAGTGAATTGTCCGTTTTCGGTTCTCGAGAGGGCGCCGCGGCCGCTATTTTCCAGGCTTGCGCCCGCCAGGTTTGGGCCTCAGGTCGTTTTCACTAAATCACGTTTTACTAAAGGGGGGTCTGTCCATCTCCGAGTCTTGAGCAACAACCCTTTCCCCGATGTGTTGGGCCAAAGACTCCCACGCGGCGGGTCCAGGCCATTTGCGAGCAGGTGCTTTGAGAGTAGTGGAACGCGCCTGTCTGGCGAGGGCGGGGGGTGGATGACCAGGCGGGGAGGATATGGCGTCCGAGGCTCGAGGTCTACGGTTTTCCGGCCTCGGGATGCTCTCCAGCAGTTACGCCTCGCCGAGAGCGTTCTGGGGGTGCCCCGATTATCCCGAATGGTTGTTAGAGGCCTGAGTAACCACCCGACCCGAAAACCACCAGGGAGGTGATGGCAAGGGGCCATGAGGTCGCCCCAGATCCCATGGCCCCCTTCTGGTCCTCATCCTCGTCCATGTTTCCGCCTGTTTTGACGTTCGGCAGACTTGGGTGATCGATTCTCGTAGCATTCGCGCTTCTTCCCCCTTCTCCTCCCCCTCCTTTTCCCTCCCGCCACACACGCACACGTCAGCAGTACGCACATCACACTTGCTCTTGCCGTGGTCGGTAAGCCAGCCCCCCACGGCGGGGACAAGTGTTGCGTGCGTCCTGCGGGGGTGAGCGGTTGATCTGTTGTTCGCGGGGCGGCCGTGCCTCACCACGCAGACGGCCGAACTCGTCGCCGCGCCCAGTTTGGATTTGGCACTTGATGTTTTTCTCCAGCTTTACCGAGTGGGGGCCAAGAGCGCACGGTTTTGTGTTTGGTGCGGGGCTTGAGTTTCTAACCGTGACCCTCGCCGATGCCCACGTTGCCGGCCCCAAGCCGGACCCAGTTGAAGTTGCCGTGTTTAAAGATTGGTGGATTGTTTGGGGAACCTTGCTGTGCCATCCACAGCCTCGGAATCAGTGTCCCATATGGGCGAGTGGGTTCTGAACCGATGCCATACGTCGTGTTGCCGCGACGTCGCCCGAACGTCGTCCATTCACGGTTTCTGTTCCATGACGCGCCATTTGCGACGGGACAAGTCTGTGTGACAGTTTAGTTCGGTGGAGCGTTTTCTTCCTACCTCCAAAAACGGGTATGAAGAGTTGCACGTGTTTTGCGCGGTTTCTTTCCAGGCCACGTGGGCCTTGCCTTGCTGCCTCTGTTGTTGCTGCATTGCGGCCAGGAGTATCCAGGAATATACTTTTCTTGTTTCTCCCCCTCTTCACGCCCCCTCATCTCTTCCCCCCATCCACATCCTTCCTTCCTCCGCCTTATCCTCCATTTCCTCTTCCTCCTCATCCTCCTTCTAGCCGGCGTTGGAGGCCCAGGCAATCTGAGCTCCGACGGAGTGAGGGTTAGGAGTGCCACGTGCGAACTATTTGTTCATCAAGTGCCGTCGCTAGACAGCAGTTGCCAGAGGGAAGATGGAGGCCCCGAGCTTCGGAGGCAACCGGAGGGTGCCAATGCAGAGTTTCGAAAACCCATGAACGACTGAGGGCCTTGGGAACAACTTCGCCAGGAGCTTGGCCCTGCAGTAAGTGAGAGGTCAAAGAAACATGCGATTTGTTTTGGAAAATGATGTTGGCGACGGGAAATCAATTGCGGCAGTGGATCCCGCTGGCCCAGCTCTGCATTCGTTTGCTTGTCGGCAAGATAAGTCGAACGACGAAAGCCACAGGGAAGATGGAGGCCCAGAGGTTCTGAGGCCACCTGGCTTTCGCAAAGACGGACCTCGAACGCCCATGGCCGCTCTGTAAGAGGACAAGAGTCCTTGGCCGCCGCAATGCAAACGAGAAAGGCGACAAAGAGGGAAGATGGAGGCCCCGAGGTTCGGAGGTCATTGGCCTCTGCCGACGATGGACCTCGGAGACCCATGAACTCGAGGGGACACGGACGAGAAGAAATCTGGAAAAGGTGGAGGCCACCACAAAATTGTGGAAAGGTTGACCCAGGAGATCGACACGTCTGTTCGCCACCGAATCGGGAAGGCCTGGGACGGCGAAACCCCCGAGGTTCAGAGGCCACCGTCTGGTGCCGACCACGAGCTTCCCTCAACGATGGCACTGATATCGCAACGCTTCTGGAATTCTTCCGTCACACAGCGACCAACGAAGGAAACGCGAATAGTGTCTTGCAAACGTTACGCATGGATAAGGGGGATGTCCATTGGAGAGCGCAATGAAGCATTAGGATTTCTTGCGTCGCAGAAGAATTGTGCAGGTTCGGAGGGTGTGGAGAAGGATCAGGAAGCTGAGGCAAAGAGGCCAGCAACATTACCCAACGGGGTTCCCTGGGACCTCTTAGTGGTGGATGACACAGTTGTTGAAGGGTTCGTCATAGAAAAGAGGACACGGAAGCGCAACGGACGAACAGCGGACGGCATTTTTCACATGAGTTGGAACAGTATTGGCCATTGTTTTTTTTGGCCCGGCGGATGAATTACGGGCCCACTTGGCTTCCAGCGGCGCAGTGCGTTTTTGGCAGAAGTGGTGCTCGCTCTCCGGGGACGGGAAAGCGTTGGTGGAGTTATTGCCACGGGGAGACAAATACACAACTGCTACCCCGTGAAGGTTACGCTCTTGCAGAATGGGGAAGTCTCGTCCTCGTTCAATCGTCTGCGCGTGCCGCATGTATCCCCAGATTTTCTGGGATAGGTGTGACCTTGCAGAGGACGGAGAGAGCGGAAGTATAGCATTCTTGAGCGCGTTTGGCGCGGGAAGTGGAATCTGAGCGCGTTTGGCGCGGGAAGCATTTGTCGCGGCGTAGTAAGTGGAGAGCACGAGCGAGGACATCTCTCAATGCTGGGGTTTCTGTGGAGGCGGGGGTGGCGGAGGAGGGGCGGGCGTCCGGGAGCGCAGGAGCTCTGTCTCACAAGTGATGGATGGGGTTCAGGGAAACCCCCGACTCGGGAACCCTGATCGCCAGCGCGCCCCCCAGAGGGGGCACGCGAAAAGGCCAGCAGCTTTTCCCATCGCACTGATCCGTCGGGACTCGCCTGATTCAGCGAGCCTCTCTTATGGGGCCACCTCTGGGTTCGCCCCCTTGAGCTCAGGGGTATGCCCCCTGCCTGCCCCGTGAGAAGTCTGGGGTTCCGGTATAATCCAATCACATGGGATTTTGCTAGTTGCGCGCGCATCTCTTTCGTAGGTGTTGACGTTGACCCTTTTATGTGGATGACCATGAGCATGACCATCCTCATTCTCCTTCTCCTCCTCCTCCTCCCGCTGCAGGCCCGAATTGTAGTCAGAAGCGGGTGCGGCGATAAACGCGATTTGTTGTCCGCTATCCGCGCAGGGCCTGTGTCATGGGGCATGGGCTCCGCGGGCCATGGAGCGCGTTTTGTTGTATATTGTATCTTTATATATATATATAAACAGAAGCAACCCTCGGGGCCCTGACGCATGTTGTGCCCCCCTTTCACCCCAACCCCATAACGTAGCGCTCCTCCCCTTTTCCCCCCCCGTAATTAGTGCTACCGACGGGACACCGATGGGACACCATGGCGGGACACTCCGGCCACCACCCCGCCCACAAGGGGAGGTTCGGACAATTGTTCTGTTCCGCCTTAGCAACATTGGAATCATGTCCCGCGCTCGCCCACAATGCCTGCCCTCGCACGCACGACGCGAAACCGAAACCGAAACCGATTTCCGGGTGGGGGTTTCTTCTATCTATGTCGATACCACCCCTTCTGACACCAGATTATTACCTCACTCCTCCCTATTGCATTCTTAGTTGTGTGCTGCCCCAGCCGACCCATCCACTCTTCTTTACATCAATATGTCATACCGTCCTTTTTTGAGTCTGACGTTTGAAAGCCGTTCGGGCAAAAATGAAGTCATGTGGGCACCCGAGGAAACCATGCGGATACATTCGACATGTGCTGGACAATCGCGGGGACGCAATTGGAATAACGACAGGGAGCCGTCGGAATAGCAGACGGAAACATGCGGTTACAGAGGAGGCCATGCGGGTAGCAGCGGAAAACAATGTTCAGATAGAGCAAGCGATGCGGATACGAAAGAAAACCGTGCTTTCACACAGGACACCATGCGGATAGTTTGGCCGCGCGAGGACAAACCCAACGGGGGTACGGGACACCAGTTTTCGTAGGGCTGGGGTCAGGATTTCTATCGGCACACTTGTTTGGAGACTACAGATATTGATATTCCTCCTCCCCCGCCTCCTCCTATTTCTCTTCATCCCTAGAAATGCACCGTATGAATATGATTCGCCTCTCAATTGGTTACATGCGGGAGATGTTCGGCCCTCCGCGCGCCCTGCGTTTTTACAAGCGGGTTTCAAAGGTTGTGTTTCTCTTAATTACGTTTCGTCACTAGCCGATTGTTTTTTGTCTTTCAAGAGGTGCCCCCGCTTTAGCATGGACCTCATTTTCCGAGCGGCGCTGTGCTCCTGTCGTTCAGAATAGCGCTCTCGCCGCAGCGCGGCACACTTTTCTGGGTCCGAGTGGCCCTGGTCGTCGCCACCCTCATTTCCTCTCCTCCACCTTCCCCTGGTCCTCCTTCTCCTCCCCCTCCTTCCACTCCAGTCCCTGCTGCTGCTGTTGCTGTTCGTCCTCGTCTCCCTCGTTCCTCGTCCTCCTCCTTTTCCTCCTGCTCATCCTCCTGCTCCCCCGCCGCCTCGTCCTCCTCCTCCTTCTCTTCCTCCTCCTCCTCCTGCTCCTCCTCCTCCTCCTCCTCCTCCTCTTCCTCATCCAGTTCCGGGTCGGTTATGACATGCGTCCGCAGATACATACACCGCAGCGCAATGGGAAGGGTTGGATGAAGGGATCGGATTTCAGATATGAAGTGAGCTCACCTTGCTAGCCTCCCTGGAACTAACTCTATGAGTTCTACTCTCCTCTCTTCCCTGAATGTTGTCTCGGGAGCGGTCCCGCCCTTTTCCGCGTTCTGTTTGCCAGTGCACATGAATTCATAACATGTTGTTTTTCTAGTCGTTTCTGAAACGACTAGAAGAACAACCCGATTGTTTCCGGTGTTCCAAAATAGTGTTCCCGCTGCAGCGTGAGCCTGGATTGTTGGATTGGCGTTGTGCTCCTGTCGTTCAACATGGCGTTCTCGCCCAAGCGTGGACCATTTGTCTAGATCCCACATGTCTCGCACGTCCCATTGATTCCGCAGGTTTTTACAGGACCCACAGGTGTCGTAGGTCGTCCCTCAGGTACCTTAGGTCTGACAGATCCCACAGGTGTCGCAGGTCTCGCAAGTACCACAGGTCCGACAGGTCCCACAGGTCCCGCCGGTGCCACAGGTCCCAGGTCTTGCAGGTCTCGCAGGTCGTACAGGTGTCGCAGCTGGTCCAGCAGGTCACACAAGTCCCACAGGTGTCGCAGGGTTCACAGGCCCTCACAGGCCATACAGGCCCCCCAGGTCGCACAGGTTCCACGAGTCCCGCAGGTCCCACAGGTCCACATGTCCGCAATTCCCACCTGCCCCAGGTCCCACATACCCCACAGGCCACAAATATCTCGCAGGATACACAGGTCCCACAGATCGCACAAGTCCAACAGTTCCCACTTGCCCCATGGGGCCCACAGGTCACCATTGCTGCTATTAGTGTTCTTTGGTTAGTTAAGGAGTTCCAGGTCGACTGTGACACGCGTCCGCGCATAGAGGAATCTCAGCTCAATGGGAAGGGATGGGAGGGCAGGCTAGGATGCTAGATGAGGGAACGCCATAACTTGCCTCTCTCCTGCTCCTCCTCCTCCTCCTTCTCCTGCTCCTGCTCATCCTTCTCCTCCTCGTCCTCCTCCTCCCGCTGCTGCCAGGCAGGACCGCGAGCGTACCCTGCGCGCACTGGTCGACTCCGCCCCTGGCCACTTCGACCTGTCACCCGTCCTGCACTTCGGCAGGGTTCGCCGTCGGCCCCCGATGCACGGAAAGGAGCCGCCGGCCCCTCTCCCCCTCAATCACGGGGAGGGGGGACCATGAGGAATGGGAGGTTCGAGTTCCCAGGTTTTCGTAGGTTTCGATGGGCGTCGGCGGTTTTACAGGCTCGGGATGCTATTCAGCAGCAGCGTCCCAGGGGTGCCCGGATCGTCCCGAAAGGCCGTTGGGAGCTTTAGATATGTGCCGAAAACCAAGTGGCGGAAGGTCAGTAGCAACGTTAGGGGGGTAGGCTCACGGGGGGGTGCATTGATCCGCCTGAAAAGGTTGCAAATTATGCCCAAAAGCCATGGGGGGTGTGAGAGGGTCCTGGTCGTGGGTTGGTATACAACATTCCCTTCCTGGGGCGTGGTCTTTGTGTACTGAACGTGGCTCCGTGGGGTGGAATATGACTGGGGTGGGGAGGGTATGGTATACCAAAAAAATACGGAACGGAGCCCTAAACGCCAAGTCGTTGCCGACAGGTGCCCGATGGCCCGCCCGCACGATAAACTCGCCATCGGGGTTTGTCGCCGATGCATCGGCGGTGTATCGCCGATTGCAGGTCGATGGTTTCCCCCCCGAACCCACCTGGCGCTTCGCCCTCAGAGGAGAAGAAGGATGAGGAAGAGCGGGGTGGAGTTAGAGTACCATCATCGAGAATGAGCGCCCTAACCCCAAAAACATATTGAAGGCGTGGCCTCATTGAGGTCCCCGTCTTTGCATTAGGGATAATAATTCTTCACGGATTGGCTTGAACCATCTGCAGAACAGATCCTTTATCCCCAATGTTGTTGCTAATTTAGGTCCCGTCCCAAAGGGTTAGGGGTCGTCTTAGTATGTATCACCGAACGTCCCCCCTCAGATGAAAAGAAGGATGCGGAAGATCCGCAGGGGGGCGGAGTACCGTGTCGGACTTGTTCTACAGCAGGAACATACCTTGGACGGATTTACTCTTTCTCCGACCGTGTGTTGCGTAGAGCGCCATGGCCGCGTTGTCTACAGACGCATCCGCCCCGCATCTCTCTCTATGTACGTACCGACCCCGAATGTGTCCATAGACGCTTGTGGCTAGAAAGTGAGAGTGTATGTGGCATAGACCCCAGATATGTGTCTGCTAGAATTTGGTAGACTTCGCATTCCGAGGCAGTAGGAGGGGGATGAGGAGCGCGAGCTGACCAGGTAATTGCGCTGCGGGCTGCTTGAGGTGGCGTATTCGCGGGGCGGTTGCTCTTTCGTCGCGGTTCAGTGTGTCTTTCGTTGCGCTGCTCATGATGGTCAGCGTTTGTGTGTGTGTGCGTGGGTCACAGACGGCGCTTGCGTTCGCAGGATCAGGAGGAGGATAACGGAGGAGGGAGCAGAGCGAGGAAGGAAGCCAAGGAAGCCAGATGGTTATTCCTGTTGTGTTTCTCATCCTCCTCACCTTCATGATCCCCTTCCCCCATTTCCTCTTCCTCTCCCCGTTTGCCTCTTCCTCCTCCTCCTCCTCCTCCTCCTCCTCCTCCTCCTCCTCCTCCTCCTCTCCCCTTTCTCTACGTCGTTCCATCCTCGTTTCGCTTTCCCTCTTTCTGAAGAAATTGATGTGCGTCTACATACCCGCCTGCCCGCGACAAACACCGCCTCCGCGCCAGCGCAGCAGCGCAGCGGGAAGGTGGTGGAGCTAGACACGCAGATTGGAGGCCCACTGAAGGCCCATCGGGTCGCCGTTTAGGTCCGTTGGGGATGCCCCTGGTGGCCTGCTGGTGGACCTCAGGGAGACCTCTTGGGGGTTCTCTGGGGCCTTTCAGTGGCGTCTTGGGGGCCCTCCGGGGGCGTGTTGGGGGTCTTGGGCGCAAGCCTGTGGGAAATGGCGGTCAACGAGGAGGGGGACCAACACGAGGCGAAGGATTACACGCCAGTCGTTGAACGTTGGTATTTTTGGGACCCCCAGATCCCAATCTACTTCAAGCGCCCTCCTACCTCAAGAAGAATCGGGATGGTTCTGCTGCGTCTTGTGGCTATCTGGAAGGGCCTGAACCCAATCTACTTCATCCGCCTGCCTGCGGCATGTTTTTGACTGCTTCCTCCGACCGGCGTGTACCCAGAGCAGGAGCGTCGCCGCGACCGCCCGACCTTCACCCCCGAGGAGCGGCCGGAGGATGCCAGGTTGCTGCGGCGCGGGCCATCGGGGGAGCTGGTGCCGCTGGCGGACCCCTACGCCTATCCCGCGCGGCCTGGACGGCGACCATGTCCCGCCGCTACCCATTCCACATCCTCCTTTTCCTCCTCCTCCTCTTGCTCCTCCTCCTCTTCCTCCTCCTCCTCTTCCTCCCCCGTGCTCTTTTTTCCTCCTTCCTCCCTTCTTCTCCTCATCCTTCCTCCTCCTCTTCCTCCTCATCGTCCTCCCCCTCCTCCTTCTCCTCCCCTTCCTCCTCCTCCTCCTCCTCCTCCTCCTCCTCCTCCTCCTCCTCCTCCTCCTCTTCCTTCTCCTCCTCATCCTTCGCCGTGGCCGTTTTGGCTCAAGGATTTGAGTTCCGCAGAAGACAAAGTGGATACCGCTGGTCCGCGGCCAGTTCTTGTGTATTCGGCTTGTTCGCCCAGGTCAGGATCGGGGCACCCTCCAGGTGGCCCAACGCGATTCCCGTTCGGACCTGCTGGCGGACGGCACCCAGCGGCAATGCGAAGACCCTCAGTCGGCACGCCCAGCGGCGTCGCGAGTGGACGATTGCTGACAAGGTGGCGTGTGGGATGTGTGGGATTGCGAAGTCGGCCAGATTCGCTCACGTCCGCCCGCAGCCATCGCCAGTCAAAAACGAAGAGGGGAACGCCTCATCCGATGCACCGCCGTGGATTAGTACCAAGATGGCGGCGATGGAGCAGCAGCTGGCAGCGGCCAGCGCCAAGATCGCCAGCCTCTCCTCAGGGGCGTCCAAGGGGGCGGATACCAGCAGCACGGAGGTCGATGGCGGCAGCCGCCTCGCGGCCACACCCGGCGCCACTGCGACCCAGAAGACGGCCAGGATGGAAGAGATGGATCGTTCGCTCAAGTCCATCGTCGGTGTGCAGGAGCCCATGTTCGCAATTAGGCACCCTCGAGGCAGAGCGGAAGAAGCTGCGCGCGCAGCTCGGGTCGAGCGAGCCGTGGCCAGCACAATTGCGCGCTATATCGCTCCAGCTGGCGACGTTGCCACGCTCGAGGAGGTCAAGGCGCTGGGGTCGCGGAGGAGGCCGGAAGGGGAATCTTCTGCAGCGGCTGCCGCGGCGACGGGGGAGGCAGGTGCCCGTCAGCCAGGCATGCCGCCGCCACCAGGCCAGGCAGATGCACCTCGGACCGAGCACCGTTCCAGACTTTCCCGATCCTAAGCTAGCCCCTGCAGAAGAGCTCCGAGAGTTCCATGGGCAGCTCGGCAACGCAGCACACGCGGAGGCATTTGAGGTAGACCTCTGGAGACATGTTCGCAAGATCAACGAGTCGATTGAGGAGTGGCGCGCCTCCAAGAAGCCTCGC